TTAAAAAGGGGTGCAATGTTTCCCTTTTACCAGTCGCCAGGGACTTCATCTGACTGCCATGACTTTTCAAATACCATGGAGAGTGGCTTGGCAACTCTTCAGCCAATTCCCTCAGGACTCTGGGATGCATCTCATCAGGTCCCATGGACGTATGGATGTTCAGGTTCCTCAGGTGGTCCCAAACCTGATCTTCTCTTACAGTGGGAGGGACTTGGCTCCCCTAAGTATATAGTGTAATAAGCAAATATGTAAGCATCTCCTTTGCTTACTATCAACTGCAGAAATGCCCCTAGGCCTCTGGTGCTTTTCATTCTTAAAAAGAGGGGATTTTGTGTTTGTTGGTCAAGCATATTTTCAAAGCAACCTGTCTTTTGTCCTTGCTTCACACACTACTGCTTTGTATTATTAAATAATTTTCTTCTAAAAGATGCATTTAACTCTGTAGATAATGTACGATCTGTAAATTAGAGATTTTAAAAACAAAGAATACATGAATTGCCTTAAAGATACACACTTTGCAGTAAACTACATATAATCTAGCAAGTAGTGAGTAGGACCTGTGCTTGCTAGTTAATTTTCTAACAGATGTACCCAAATCTTACAGAGTTATGTGAAGGACCAGCTAGAAGAACACAGAAAATCAGATGCGGAACAGTATCTTAAGAATCTCTATGATCTATATACAAGGTATTTATATTTTGATGATGAAATTAGTATTGTGTATGTTCTCTTGCAATAGATTGATTTATTATCAAGATGTAGGAAGAGAAGCCAAAAATGTAAACTTTTTCACAAAAATTCAAAATTTTTTTGTGCCCATTAACCTTTACAATGATTGCTTTCCTAAAGAAAATTTAAAATTGCCATTATTATTTTTAATGGGAAGTATTTAGAATAGTTATCTTTGAGAGTAACTTTAAAACTGTGTAAAAGCCAGTCCTCTGCATCTCACTGGCGACTTACTTCGTTGCAGTTGTACTGTATGTAATTAAACATGAATTATGTGAAATTCTTTACTTAAATGTAAAGCTGTTAGAAGTCTTAATCGCAATCAGGATTCCGTTGTGCTGTGTACTTTACAAACACGTAATGCTGTAATTCATACAAATTCAACCTTTTCCTCCTCTCCCCTTCTTTGTTTCTTTTGCATAAAGAACTACTAATCTGTCAAGCAAATTGATGGAATTTAACTTGGGTACTGATAAGCAGACTTTCTTGTCTAAGCTTATCAAATCCATTTTCATTTCCTACTTGGAGAATTACATTGAGGTGGAAATTGGTTATTTGAAAAGTAGGAGTGCTATGATTCTGCAACGCTATTATGATTCCAAAAACCACCAGAAGAGGTCCATTGGCACTGGCGGGTAAGTTTCTTCTGTGAAGTTTTGTACTTTTAAAATGGAAGGGAGGCGGTAAGGGGAGGAACATAGTGATTGCCATGTCAGATGTACAGTGATGAACTGCAAAAGAGCAGGCTTCTAAAATGACCTACAGCTTTTTATAATTTGCTGTCACTTTATGTTAACTTCTGCTAAAAAGTGTGTTGCTCTCGGTACATGTGAAAGGTGATGCATGGTATTTATACGCTCATGGGAAATGAAAAATACCAGTTAAACCTATGTTTCAACTTAGGATCCAGATCCACAAAAGGACTGAAGCAAAATTAAGGTACCTAAAGCATGTATATGTGTGTATCTAAAAGCATACATTTTTTTTCACCTGCCCAGGTCTTGTGGTCCCCTCCCAAGACCTAGGAAGGGGAAAAGACCATAGCAATGTCAGTGAGAAAGCTCTTAATGAGCCCAGAAGATGCAATGGACTTAGAGAAAGGTAAAACAAGACTTCATTATCCTCAGGGTAGAGAAACTCTAATAAAGGAGCAGTGAGAAGTGGGAAAGGAAGAATTAAAACTTGTGTGAAGCAAAGGTGATAAGACTACTGCACCTTTCAAAGAGCTACTGGGTTCAGTGTGCCAGGAATTAAGTGTGATTTGGAGAGAACAGCAGCAGCAAAGTACTTAAATGCACTCAAAAAACAAAGATGAAAATTTAATTTTCTTGGGGAAAATTAAATTGATTGTAGTGACTGACTTTATGGGTTGTTTTATGCATGGAAATGTGTTGGAGCATGCTTGACTAAATCAGGACTGCTGAGGTAGTGGATGAGGATGAGAGGATTTGTGGGCGTGGATGAGACAGAAAGCTCTTGTTAGTGTTTTGAAAGTACAACGTGACAGAACGTGTGGAAGCTACACTTGGTCCACAGAGCATAAGTGATATAAGATTCAATTGAAATTACTCTTGTTCCACGATGGGGAATAGCTGGTCCCATGGTGTGAACGTGCCATGGTAGAACACAGTTGGCCATGGTACCAGAGGTGGTAGTTTTGCATTTACTGGCAATTTTTTTAAGCTTGCAAAACTGTCTTAATGCTTGCGTATCCTAAACTGTGTTTTGGGTTCTGTTTTTTTTTTTTAACTTAATGACTAAAATATCCTAAATCGTTGTTGAATTTGAGCTTCAAAATGTCCATCTGGTGAAATGTTCTTTGGGTATATCTTTGTTCTAGTATTCAAGACCTCAAAGAGAGAATAAGGCAATGTACAAACTTACCGTTGGGGCCAAGTATTGACACACATGGAGAAACTTTTCTGTCGCAAGAAGTGGTGGTTAACCTTTTGCAAGAAACTAAACAAGCTTTTGAAAGATGTCACAGGGTACGTTTGCTTGATCTCCGTTACTGATAGAATTTTGTGTGTGAAATTAAATCTTGAGGTTCAATTTTCAGTTGAAGTGTGATTGGAAGAAAGTAAGGAAGTTATTAAACAAATTAATTCTCTTTAGTGTTTTTCACTGAATCGGTATCATCGTGGAGGCAAAGGGTTTGGTTTTGAAATGTGGATCTGGTTGTATTTTGCGGGTTTTAATACTGTCTATTTTTGGAAGAAGTAGGGGAGGTTAAACCTATTGTCTACACTGCTTTACTTACTAAATTAGACCCAAGACTTGAGAAGCCTTTAGCGTAATTTCTTTTCCTGCTTTAAAAATACAGAGAACAGTCCAACAGTCGTATGTCAAGTGCCATTTCTTCTAGCATCAGAGAATATCACCAATAAAATGCTGAGAGGGATAATCTTTAACATGGTTTATCTTGGTAACCCTCTACTGTTCTTTAAATGCTTTAGTCTAACAAAAACCTGTGTTTTCCATCTGATTAAATCGCTGGGTTTACTACCTGTCAGTTACTGTTTGTCTGACGCTTCAGTATAAATGAAAACGCTTGAAATTTAATTGCAAACTTAAATACTAGGGATTTTTTATTCGCTAACTACATTGATTTCTAACGAATTTCAATGCCTGTAACATTCTAAATTAGCTTAGTGCAGAAGAACTTAACATTTTACGTATTTAGAAGTTTTAATATTTTATATAATTAAAAGAGCCAAAGATATAACAAAATACAGATACAGCACTGTTACCTGTACGCACTGGGATGACCACCTTCCTAGTGATGAAAGGCAGTGACTGCAAGACAAGCAGGTAGATCATTGTTTTTCTTAATAGGTTGGTTGCTAGAAATGGTTGTTAAATTCATGATATAAACTAACTGTTTCTAATTGAGTACGACTTATTTCTTTTTTTTTTGCCTTTCGTGTGGGGATCAGCATTTTTCAGACTCGGTCTGAAAACAATTGTATATATTGGGGTAGAAAGCAATGCTAAATGGATCTTGGCAGATGTATAACATCTCAGTTGTCATTCATGCTGCTGGGGTTTTGTTTGTGGTCAGGGCAACTCACTGTGCAGAAGAGGGAAGTTGAACTTGTCCCTGGCTAACTAATTGTTATATTTATATTACATGACAGATGGGTGCAGACACACTGTCTGTCCCAACTGTGGCTGCTTTAGGAAGAATAAGTTGGTAATGCTGAATGTAACCGTATATTGTGACACTTCGATGTTTGGAAGTCTCTGTAATGGCATTTTGTTGTTGGAGGTTTTGTTTTGGGTTTTTTTTTGGGAATACAGCAGAAATCTTTGGGAGCGTTGTTACGTAAATGAACTTGAATTGCGATATTAATCTTTCTTACTCCTAGCTTCGTCAAGTCTTCACATAATTCCTTAAAAACCAAAGCTGTATTTCTTATGTGCAAAAGCCCTGTCACGTTTTTCTTTAGAAAAGGGATTTACTGACAGGTTGCTGTCCAAAATCCCATGTTGCTTACAGCTCATGAAGGTACAGGTGCTCTGTGTATATGTGGGCATTACTTCACTTTAATAAAAATTTTCATGCTCCGTTGACTCCAGCTGAACTGTGGTAAATGTAGCTGAGGTTCAGTCTGTATTATTTTTCCTGCGGTACTGTGGCAGTGATAAAAGAACAGCGGCACTGGGTGGAACTGAAGGTCCATCTGACCCAGTGTCCTGTCTCTGACTGGGGCCAGTGGCAGAAGCTTAGCAAAAGAGGAAAAAAAGCAGGGTATGGGTAGAGTTGTCTTTTCTGTGTGTTTTCCCAGCATCCAGTGGTATGCAGTTTAGGTAATTCCTGAGATTACATCTGGATGCTTGTGTTCTAAGGACTATTAATTAATATCTTCCATTATTATTATTTGTTTATACTTCTGCTTTTGTAGCATCCTGTGGTGTGCTAGCTGAAGGGTTAATTGATAATAAATGTTGTTCCTGAATAGGTCTCTGTATGGATACTTTTAATTTAGAATGAAAATCCCAATTGTTTTGGAGTACTTGTTACATTTTAAGCTTATCCCTATGCAGTATCAGATAAACTTTCAAATATATGTAGAACTGACCTTTAGGGTATTTATTTTTTCTTTTTCTTTAAAGCTCTCGGATCCATCTGACTTACCGAAGAATGCTTTCAGAATTTTTTCTATGCTTGTAGAGTTCTTATGTACTGAACACATCGATTATGCATTAGAAACAGGCCTTGCTGGTGAGTATAGTATTTTCTGAGGATTTCATCTCATTGGCCTTTTTGTGCAGATGATCTTTGCAGGTCCTTGCTATGCCTTATTGATTGGCCTTGTTCAGAATGTGTTTGGTTAAATGAAGTTCGCTTTGTGTATTTGGGAGTCAGAATTTAATGTCTTCTGAAGTGTAACTTCCATTTGGGGAATTGATGCGCAGATGGAAACATGCTGCTGTCTTCAGAAGCGTTTGTTTGTATCGCAGAAATTGGACATCAGCATTCCCTACCTCTTAATTGTTCTCTGTGCCATAGAGAACATCTTTATATTAAGGCTTAGTGTCTTATGCTTTGTAAGAATTCCATGCTTGTTTGTATGCCTGTGCATTTTAAAGAGTGACAGTAAGTAAGAAAACTGCTTGTATTAAAGAAGTTAAAATCTTGACAGTGGGAACCTGCCTTTCCTACGTGAAGACCTAAGACTTGTGTTCTGAAGAAGTGTTTAAATTGGCTGTTCCGTTTTGCTTTTAGAATTTTAAAAAGTGAGATATTTCCGTGCTCATGGTTGTTACAGCTATGATAAGTATTGATAGTATGATATAGCTATGAGAAGTATTCTATATATGGCACCATGGTAAATTTTTGAAACTGTAAGCCTGTGATTTAAGCATTCATGGAAAAATTCTGCATATTTAAAAAATCATCATGCTAATTATAAGAACCGCATATCGTTACAATCCTAATGAAACCTTCTTTGCTTTAGGCATTCCCTCTTCTGATTCAAAGAACGCAAATCTTTATTTCTTGGATGTTGTCCACCAGGCCAATACTATTTTCCATTTGTTTGACAAGCAGTTCAATGATCATCTGATGCCACTGATCAGGTACCTTTGTTTTGGTTGGCATTTCCTTTCTGAATGGTCATTTTTGGTGAAGAAAGCAATTTTTTTCATCCCTCATCTCTGTTAAGAGGAGTTTATTCTTGGAGTGGTTCAGCTTGATCTTGTGGGAGGATAAAATACTTTAATGGGAAAGGGAAGAAGGGAAGTTAAACAAATTGATTCCTTGGAGAACTGGTGGGAGAAGAAGAGTATTGATAAGAAGGAGAGACAAGCTGCTCTTAGAGAGCTCACTGCTGCATTACAGGCCAGGACTAGAGCAGGTTTGTGGCTGGACTTTGGGGTGAGCTGGTGATACTGGGGCTGCTGAGACTCCTGAGGGTACCTCACAGGCTCTGCAGAGGGAGCAGCTGGCTGTGCCTTGGGAGCCCCACGTGAACTACGTGAACCACGTTGTTGGGAGCCGTGGGTTGGATGCGCTCGAGGCCGAGCACACTGCTGTGCTGTGAGTTAGCGCGTGTGACAGGCTGGGTTTGCCCGCTCAGCAGGCACAATGCTGCCCGAAGTGAGTTCCAGTGCTGCCCGTCAGCGCCCAGCAAGTGCTCCTCGGGGTCAGAGGGCTGTTCAAGCTGTTGGTTTGTTGTTCTGAAGCCAGCTAACTCCATCTAAACTGGTCCTTTCTGATGGGGTGGGAAATCTTCACAAAATCCTGTTGTAAGTAGCAGACCCAGCAGACAAATTTGTTTCGATATCTTAACACTGTCACACATCCAACCTTCTATACCGTTGCAGTTCTTCTCCTAAATTATCTGAATGCCTTCAGAAGAAAAAGGATATCATAGAACAAATGGAAGTGAAGCTGGATATGGGCATTGATAGGCAAGTAGAGATTTTAACTTTCTGTTAATCATTAGTTCTTGTAAAACTCCTTGGTGATGTATGTTCGCTTTCCTTCTAAAGATGAGGTATTTCTGAACAGAAAATTGGTTTGTTAAGTATTTTTTTAAAATCCATAAGTATGGATTATTGTGCATAAGAAATTTACATTTTGTTTGTTTAGAAGGTCATATTTTCCATGGCAGATTTCTGACCAATAAATGCTTTTG